TCAAGCCCAGGGAAACAGTGTCAGATTTGCAGATGAATACCAGTTCCACCCTCTCCTCTGTCATGGACTGGTGAAATTCCTTTGTAGAAGAATGGCTGCTTGTTAAGTCCACGACGGAGCGACCAGGCAGGTTAAAAGGTTCCCCTACGGTTAGCGTGTGTTCCCGTTTTTGAGGTCTGATTTGGGTCCATAGTTTTAATGATTTAATATCGGCTTCACTGCAGCACATGGGACCCCTTGTGATAGGCCAGGAGCCCCGTGTGCAAAAGGCTGTACAAAGAGAGAGTCCTCGGGGAAGAGCCTTTCAGGACCGAACTCTGCTCCCCCTGAAGTCAGTGACAACACCCTAATTGGCTACCACGGGGCAGGCTCACACTCTTCCTGGAAGAGGGCTTCCTGCCGTGCAAACTCGTCAAACAGCCGGACACAGCACCCCCTGTTGGCCGACGGAGCCCCATCTCCTGTTTGCTTCAAACACACTTGAGTACTGGGCAGGGATTTCCAAATGTATCATTGAGTGTCTATTTAAATCAATGCCTGCCCAAATTCAGGCTCTCTTTTGTTACTTTAACTCCATCTCAGGTAGTATGAAGGCCAAAGATTAGACCTGAATGAACACAGAGTAATCCAGGGTGCCACAAACAGCAGGGTCGAGGACAGCTGCCTGGTGCTGTGACAGTGAAGCCTTTTTTCTCTGTTGCCTTTTGCAGCTGTTTAGAACACAGCAAAATGAGGGGGAGGGGGCCTGGACGGAGCTGGGGGACGTCGACTTGTATTTCTTTGAATAAGGACCAGCACAAACAATCTCAACGTCTGCCTACGTGTCTTACATTTATTAACCGCTTTCCTTTTGAGACATTAGGACTCAATGTGACCAGCCACCCACTGTCTTTCTTCTTCTCTTTTTATACAAAAACCATCACGGGAAACAAAAAAGAAAACCAACAAAAGACAACATTGAAAAGATGATTCCACCGAGAAATACCTAAATCACTGTGCAGCTCATCGCACGTAGAGGATAGTCCAAATTGACATGGTCACAAAACGGGAGGGCGCCCACACGCCATCATAAACTCAGACAAGGGAGGGAGAATTGAATCGGACATTTCCATCTCTCCATTCTTAAATTTAATTTAGTCTCCCCGGCTTTCTATTGGCTGTGATGGGAGTTGGATCTGACCATTAGGTAGATAGACATCTCTCAGGGATGGTCTAGACCAGGGCTACTCAACATGCGACCTGTGGGTGGGAGCCAAAACAAAAAAGGCGTCAATAGAATGGTCTTCTGGAGATATGTGTTTTAGTAGTTAAATTCCTGGACTGTCATTTCTCATTAAAAGTCCTCTCATATGGGTGGAAATCAGGTAAATATTGCATTTTATTAAGATCAACAGAACTGACTTAAGCGGAGCCTATGTATTGTGTAGTCTTGCCTTAAACTTTGTATTCATGCCCATCAGTGTGAAAGAAGCTATGATTCTATGATTAGAGCCAGGACACTGTTATGTTGCTGAATGTGTGTGAAACTATGCAGCTCATGAGGCTGAAAGGTGATATTGACACAAGAGACCCTCTAAGATTGGTTTTGGTTTTTTCCATCACCTTTGCTTTCTGTCTAGATCCACTTCCCTACTAGATTTTGGAGTGAACTTATGCAAAAAAAGGATGGATTCAATACTCTGCTAGACACAAACCTTTTCAGGCCCACGCCGCCCCTTTCTTGAAGTGCGCAACTAAATCCCCTGCTTTTTCCCAGTAATTTCCTCAATTAGCCACTTTGCTTTACAGACATTTATATTTAATGTGGAATTTGCTGTAAAAGTTTCATAAAGACCTCACAACGGAAATCACTAGCTTACATCTACTTACATTTATCTAGCAAAAACCTTGCGGCTAATCCAAAGGGAGAGAGAGCAATCATAATATATCAGCCACCTTTAACAAATAGGTTATTTTTCCTTGCCTATACAATGCACTATTATGCTCCTTGTTTTTTTTTCTAATGGGAACAATGCAAGCAACAGTGATGGGAAACAGCAAAAACAAAAGAGGCATTGATAAGAAACTGATTTGCAGTCTGAAAAGCACTGAATAATGTTACACCTGATAGCAAGAAGACCTCAGCTAATTTAATGCCACAATATTTACTTAAATGGGATTCTAAACATACAAATTATGGTTGTTTAGCCTCAGGCTGTTTTGTTGAAAGACTTTTCTTAAATACTATGAAATATAAGCTTGAAATGGAGACAAGTGTTTTCCTGAGACACAAAATACTAAGCCGAAATCATGTTCATTTTGTAAAATGGAAAAGCTACAAAAGTTTCAATCTAATCTATCTATCTATATCGCCAAAGTCTGGAAGAGCTGCTTTGGTTTTCTTAGATAACTGCATTTCTCAGTGGGTTTACTTGCACGTGTACCTTGTTTTGGGGGTTAATTATTAGAATTGATGTGGTGGGCTGAAATATTTCTGTTGGCAATAGACATGAGTACAGATTTAGGCCCTCATCCTGCGAAGAGGAACACACACATACCTGGTAAACAGTTCCAGGACTTCATGATTTCAATTGGCATGGTGTGTAAACTTAATTGCGTGAATCCATTTGGTAATGTCAGAGCCTTTCCTAAAGAGAACAGAGGTGTTCTTTTAATGCTGTTACAGGTGTTGTCTTCTATATTTAATTGGACCTGCCATACTGGTGAAGGGTAAATAATTACATTTGAAGATAAATTAAGGAGCAGACCAACAAACATTTTTAATGTGCATACATTATCTCCCGCAGAACCTAAGGGATCAATCCTTTGTAATTAGGTAGTGCAATCAATAAACCATGTACTGCATTTCTTTAAAAAAATATAGGGCCCAATCCTGCAAGTCCTCACTCATTGACTACAATGTACGTTTTGTTTGTGTAAGGGCCTGATCCTTCAGTCCTAGCTCATCTCTGCTTTAATGAGGTATAAGATGCAATTCTTTGATAATTTCCTTTAAAATAGCATTTTTCATAAGTAGCTTCAGCATATAGATCAGCCAGGTGTTCTGGGGGTGGAGTGGGGGCGGGGCCAGGCTGGCGATTTGGGAAGGCAATGTCTTCCCCCATCTAGCATACTTAGAGCTCATGGCCCTGATACTGTGTTAACGAGGCTAATTAAGTGGACTGGATGTGTCCCAACATAGCTTTTGATGTGAAAATACAGCAGTTCACTTAATTAGCCTCATTAACACAGGTCCTACAATTGACAAGTACTTCTTGTGCTGTTATAGCTGTATCTATATCTTGGTTTCTGTTAATTCCACTACAATTCATCTGATGAAGTGGGCTTTACGCATGAAAGTTCATGATTCTATATATGTTGGTTTGCCTCTAAGGTGCCACAGGACTACTCATTGCTTTTAAAGTCACCGACTAATCCAGCGACCCCTCTGAGCAGCAGACATTTAACTATGTGCTTGACTTTAACACCATGAATCGTTAGAGCTTGGCCTGGATTCAAAATCTGAATCCACATCCACGAGCCACAGCTATCCGAATCCATATCCACGGATACAGATGCCCCTGGCTCTAAAGTGAATACCCATCGATATGAGGGGTTTATGCAGGTGTGAAAGAAACTTCAATCTCTTACAGGTACTTGAATTTGCGTCTCTACCAGCTCTTTAATTAGCTTCTTGCTGGGTTTTGCCACAGCTCAGCCAATTCTTGCGTGGCAGCTGTACAGACAGGCTGTGTCTAGACTGGCAAATTTTTCCACAAAATCATCTGATTTTGCGGAAAAACTTGCCAGCTGTCTACACTGGCCGCTTGAATTTCTGCAAGAACACTGACGATCTCATGTAAGATTGTCAGTGTTCTTGCAGAAATACTGTGCTGCTCCCGTTCGGGCAAAAGTCTTTTTCCAAAAGACTTTTGTGCAAAAGGACCAGTGTAGACAGCAGAGGATTGTTTTCCGCAAAAAAAGCCCCGATCGCGAAAATGGCGATCGGGGCTTTTTTGCGGAAAACCACGTCTAGATTGGCCACGGATGCTTTTCTGCAAAAAGTGCTTTTGCGGAAAAGCATCCTGCCAATCTAGACGTGCTTTTCCGAAAATGCTTTTAACGGAAAACTTTTCCGTTAAAAGCAGTTTCAGAAAATCATGCCAGTGTAGCCGTAGCCACAGAGTAGCACTGATTCCGCACAGCACCCAAGTTAGAAAGGGGGAGGCTATTTAGCTCCATTTGGCTTTGATTTGGATCTTTCTTCTTTTTTTTAAACCCTCCTTTCTGATTTCCACGTGGATTTCTGGTCTACTGCTGCCGCCCCAAGAACAGCCCTGGCTATTTCACTGGCCCAAGAAACAAAATGCAGGACTATGTAGCACTTGAAAGACTAACAAGATGGTTTATTAGATGATGAGGGTCTGGCCCACGAAAGCTCATCATCTAATAAACCATCTTGTTAGTCTTTCAAGTGCTACATAGTCCTGCATTTTGCTTCAGCTACACCAGACTAACACGGCTACATTTCTATTACTAGCCCAAGAAAGACTGTCGCGAAAGACTGCCACTTCCCCCTCCCTCCCGTTTTTCCTCCCCTCCAGCTCATCTCAGGAGGTGGCTTTTGCCCAGGAAAGCTCACGATCCGACACAGCTGGGTGTGCCGGGAAGGGGCCGAAGAACCGCTCGCGGTTTGCAGAGTGACAGCCTAACGCGGGAGGGGACCCCTCTGAGGCTCCCCAAGCGAGCCGCCAGTGGATAGGCGCCCCCCCTGG